ATACTGTTCCAAATCACTTAATAAAAGGAGAAATGGTCAAAACAACCCTCTGAAGTTTTACCTCACACCCAGAAAATTGTCAAAGATGATTGAACATGAGAAAAGTCAGTGTTGGGGAGGGGTAACAAGCCCAGATTGTTAGTGGAGCTGTGAATTGTCCCAGTCATTCTGGAAAGCAATTTGGAATTAAGTGAAAAGAGTGACTGATTTTTTAGTTAATGTCCCTTGACCCAAAGATTCTACTGCTAGATGGAGGTAAATAACAAAAAGAAGGGGTCAATACACACTAAATTATTTTAGCAGCATTTTTTGTGGTAACAAAGAACTGGCAACAAAGTAGATGCCCATTGACTATGGAATGGTTCAACAAACTATGGTACGTGAATATAATAGACTATTACTTTGCCGTAAGAAATAGTGACTGAGAAGTACAGAGAGGCATGGGAAGATAATTGAACTGATACAAAGTGAAGTAAGCAGAATCAGGAAAACAGTATACATACTAACTACAGCAAAGTCAGTGGAAAGAACAATATCAAAACAATTGAGACTAAAATTATAATGACCAAACTTGGCTCCAAAGAAGAGATGTGACAAGATGCATACCCCCTGCTTCTTTCCAGAGGTTGGAAACCTTGAACATCAAACACTGCATATAATGCCAGATTTTTTTAATATGTTGGCTAGTTTTGCTGACTTTTTTTCTTCCTCTATTTTTTATTCTTTCATATTAAGGATGACTTTCTGGGAAGGGGTAGGAGAAGAGATATGGTAGAAAATGTAAGTGATATGAAAACAAAAAACAAAGATTTCTTTATTTTAGCAAGAGAAAAGGACATATAATCACCTATTGTAAAAAGTAAAAAGTCGCTACGTGGCATTTACCTGTATTGCCTTCTTCAGTTCTCTTAACTATCAGTCTGGACAATTATTTCACCACAGGTGGTCATCCAAGTCTAAGATCCAGTACCATGAAGCCTGAGTGAGGGCTAAAGGGAAGGGAGTTTTCTGGCAAAACCTCCCAAGGATTTAATCAGTGAACAGCACTAGCTTACTGGTGAAAGATCCCAGATTTTGTTCCCCCTTTCACCTTCCAAGTTGAAGTCTGTGTTCTGTCTATCAGAAACTCCTCTGTCCCACCCACGAGTGCCCTTATGTTTGCCAGACACATGTGGGAGAAGAAGGGCCTTTCCTGTCTTTCTCCTGGGAATCAGCCAATCTTCAGACTGTGGTTTTCTGAGTCCACTCTCTGTTGCAAAGCTTTTTCCCACACCCAAGAAAAAAGCCAGTCAAATATAGCAAAGTGATTTGATATATTGATACTAGGTCTTGAGGAATCACCAGTGTATCCAAAGCCCCTGTATTCTCTGTAAATTAACTGATAACTAACTGTATGACCCTTATTCCTCAGGTGATTGCAACACACATAGATTGTACTGACTTCCTATATAGAATTTTCATGTATGAATGTCCTTAGATGAGTCTTCATTTTGTAAGACTTGAGGAATAGAGGACATTGATGAGCACCAGAGCAAACCTATCCCTTTGAATTCATTCATACTTATATATTTATAGAGACGCTCTTCTTTTTCCATTCCGTTACATACACACAAATACCTATTCTATTTGGTGTTTGTTATATTCATAATGAAAATAAAAATTAATTTAAAAAACTTTTCAAACAATTATTATGAGTTGCCAAGAGAGATGAAGAGTTAAATAACAGCATAGTCTCTACCCTTAAGAATCAGAGTGCTAGGGGAGATACAAAAATAAATAAATTCCTACCTTCAAGGCTCTTACAATCTAGCAGAAATGATAAAATAGCTATGCAGATAAATACAATGCAAAGTACAAGGTGAGTGCATACAAGGAGTACAGAGTCCTAGGAAATCAGGTTAGAGTACAGGCTCTACAAGTAATGGAACTCTAAGATTATGGTGATGCAGGGTTTTTTTTTCCTTTTCCTTTTATAAGAATGTGTAGATTCAGGTTATAGAATTGTGGAAAGAGATTTGGCCTGAAAGCCAAGAGACTTAGGTTCCAATTCACCTTTGCAACAAACTAACTGTATGACTGTAGGCAAGCCATTTAAACATCCTTCTTCAATTTCTTCATTTGTAAATGTGAGACGGTTGGACTAAATTATGCTAGAGATCTCTTCTGGCTCTAAGCTTCTGTGATTCTAAGTGATCAGACCATGAGTTTACTCAAACAATATTTCTATACAGGAACATTGGACAGTTTGGTCTCTCCTCCTACCCCAAAATGCAATTCAAGACACGTTTGTTTGGTTTGGGTTTGTGGGGGTTTTTTTGTTTTTTTTGTTTTTTTTGGCTAGTCACTGGGGTTAAATGACTTGCCCAGGGTCACACAGCTAGTCAATGTTATGTGTCTGAGGCTGGATTTAAACTCAGGTCCTCCTGAATCCAGGGCAGTGCTCTATCCACTGCGCCACCTAGCTGCCCCCAAGACATGTTTTGAAGCATAAGAGAGCCCATATATATGGGAGTTTTTAAGAGTGCAGCTCTTCAATTAATTTTGTGTTTTCTGTTTTTCAGTTTCTTTGGTTGTTGGAGATAAAGATTGATCAGATTGTTGTAGAATGTCATAGGTAGATAGAAGATGTAGAAGGGCTTATATGTGCTCACTGTTTCGTTGCATATTTTGAATACAAATAACATACTGGTCTTAAAGTACAATGAAATGCAATCCTTATATAAGTTTACAAATGGAATATAAATAACACTTTGCTATTTTGATACCATAATGTAGTAGAACTTAGCTGATTCTAATAATGTGTATGTTTTTATGCAATCAGAATTACTCCTTTTAATAAGGTTCTTCTGTAGGTAATGATTATTCTCAAAAGGCCAGAAGACAAATCTGCCTTTAGTGACAAAGATAAATATGTTTAAGAACATGAAACTAATTGCTATGCACAGATCACTACTGAAAGGCAGACTTTTGGGGTAATGACATAAACCTCTTAAGGAAGATATATAGAACTTTCTACCTTTCAATCTTGATTAAATGTGGATTAGTGTTTTCCATTTGAAATGTTGATGAATTCTACAGCCCCTCGTAATATCAAAGAATTATTTTCCATCCCTGGCTGGTGATGAATCCCATATCTGGCTAAGTCTATCTAAGGTTTCATTCTCAGAAGTTCATGTGTCAGTCAGTCAGTTGATAAACATGTGTTAAGCACCTACTATGTGCCAGACACCATGCTAAGCACTGTGGATACAAAGAAAGGCAAATGACAGTTCCCACTCTTAAGGAGCACACTATCTGGTGGGAGCCAATATGCAAATAACAATGTACAAACAGGCTATATACAGGATAAATTGGAAATAGTCTACAGAGGGAAGGTACTAGGATTAAGGGTGATCTGAAAAGGCTTCCTGTAGAAGATGGTATTTTAGCTGGGGCTTAAGGGAAGCCAGGAGGCAGAGATAAAGAGGGAGAGCATTCAGGCATTGGGAATCACCAGGGGAAATGCCCAGTGTAAGGAGATAAATGGTCTTGTTTAAGGAACAGCAAGGAGACCAGTGTCACCAAATCTAAGAATATATTGGGGGGGGACAGGGCCAAGAGATTGTAAAATGTAAGAAGATTGGAAAGATTGTGGGCCTGGGAATGTTATGAAGGGCTTTGAAAGCCAAATGGAGGATTTTATCCTAGAAGTGATGGGTAGCCACTGGAATTTATTGAGTATGGGAGTGACATCGTCAGACCTGCCTGTTTTAAAAAGATGCTTTGACAGCTGGGTGGAGAATAGACTGAAGTAAGGAGAGACCTGTGGCAAACAGACCCAGCAGCAGACGTTTGTAGTCCAGAGATGAGGTGATGAGGGCCTGGCAATGCCAGAGGAGAGAAGAGGGCATGTACAAAAGATGTTACAAAGGTAAAATTAACACATCTTGGCAACAGATCAGATATGAGTGTGAGGGGTTGGGAATGGTGGTGAGAAGGAGTAAGGAGTTGAGAATGACATCTAGGTAGTGAGCCTGAGTGACTAGCAGAGTCTTGGGGGCTTGGAAAAGTAGAAACTTCAAACAATTAGGAAATATGGTTGAATTGTCATTTCCGTCATTTATATTAGTTTCTCCATCTGATGGTAGTGCCTTTGTTGTGTAAACGAATTTTGAGGAATGCTTTAGGTATAGGTCTTCCTTCTCTCCCACTCTATTGATTAACTTGTTGTGGAGGAATAAAACTTCCTATACATCTGGTTTAATATACAATAGCTAGAGATGGAATCAAGTGCTTGAAAAACCTTTTCTGAAAAGTACTGTGTAATATAGTTGTGTTACTGCTTTTCCTTTCTACAATTTTATTTCACACCAGAATTTTGGTGAGATTGATTTATATCATGTGCTATTGCAAATAGTGCTGAAACTTGAAAAGTAAAAACACAGAAAACCTTGAGCCATAGAAGAAATAAATCAATCGACTTGAGCACTATCTAAACTGTTGAATTGAATGGTTTACTTTTTCCTCATTTCTTACAGATAGATGTTAACTTTCATGATTTCCAGATCTTTAGTGATTTGTCTATAAGCTTACCCTCCAAGCAAAAAGCATTCTTGTGTTTATTGATTTTGCATTTAAGTGCTTGTTCCTAAGTTACCTCATTTTGTCTTCCCAATAGATAGGTGTTATTTATCCCATTTTGGGGAAACTGAGAACTTTCTTAAGGTCATATTTGTAATTAGTAGCAAAGCAGTGATGAGATCTCAGATCTTCTCATTTCTGTCTCAGGGTATTGTATGTTATATCATTTCACAATTCCTGGCCATCACTCTCTCAAAATTTAAAACTGGGCTGACAATATAGGACTTTTTACAAAAATTTATATGTTGATCAATTCTCTGTTTCATTGGGCTGTTCCAGTATTACTGGCTGTAATTAGACAAGTGTAAAAGACTTTTGTAGCAAGTGGGTTGTAATTAATGGAAGGCATCAATCTTTTTTTCCCCTGTTTCTTTTTGCAGGCAATCTTTGGCAATCTCATATTACCCAGTTCCAATCTGTGGTCTGTACATAATGCAGGCTACAGAATCTCCAATGCTACTGCCAATGCCCAGAAGCCTACCAGTCTGCCACAGAAAGTGGTGCCATCTCCAAATTCTTCCTCAACTCTGGTCCCCAAACCCCCACCCAGTCACAAGCAGGTGCTTAGGAAGATGTCATCACAAAGAGTTTCCAAGTAAGTTTTTTGTGTGTCAGTATCTTGTCTAGGTCATAGTATTGTATCACTGAAATATAATAGGATTATTGTCCTTTCTTCACTATGCCTTCAAGACAAGACTGTTGTTTTAAGGAGAGAGTACTTAGTCTTTACTAAATCCTTCCTGGTGCCATTCACTGTAAATACTCGAGCAATCTAGGAGAAATCAGATGTATTACTTCTGGTTTGTTCATAATTGTTTATTCATCTTTTTTTATTTTATTTTGTTAGATGTATTTTAAGTTGTGTTCATTATATCTACCCTCATTGGTTTTTAGGCTGCTCCAGGATTGAGACTGTCTGTTATTTCATTTGTAACTTCCTGCTGATGTGAATATGTGGGTGCTCAATGACTAGTACCAAGAGACTACTTTTGCTACACCACCACAATTGAAATCAAATAAGAACAATCTGGACATCTGAATTTCCAGAAACGGAAGGGCATACTTTGACAAACTTTTCTACAGTCTTAATCTTTTATGTTTTATGGAAAACTCTCTTTTTGTATGCTTTTTAATGGGCAGATACGGACCTGGATGTAAATTAGATGAATTCGTTTAATTGACCTTAGTTTTAACAGTTTTTGTGAAATATTCTGTATGTTTTGTAGGGTGCATTTAATACCTTCAAAAGAGATAGTTTCAATCTTAAATCTAATTCTGAAAGACTGAATCCCCACTTGCAACCTTTCTGTCACTAGTCAGATACAAATTTGGGTACTGTTTCTCTTCTCTTAGCCTTCACTTTTAAAGTAAGGATCTTTTCAAGGTGTCTATATGAAACATGCTTTTCCAACACAGTATTTGCCTTGTGAGATTTTCTTTGTTTCCCTAATGTTGCATTAAGGTCTCATTTTTACTAGTACTTAGCATGATCAACTTTAGTTGCCACCAAAGACTCCTAGAACCCAGAGAAAGAAACTGATGCTTCTTCTATTTTGTATTTGATTCAGATTCATCATCTGAGTCAAAAGCTGTCCTTTGTGGCTATTGAATTATATTATTAAATCACCACACAACCCAAGCAAAGTCAGAATCCTGGACTTGCATGGTAATAGCTTTCTTGAACACAAATAGTGTTTACTGGCCGAGCTGTACAGGGAGAGCACTGCAATGGGAGTTGAGTCCTGGGTTCTAGCCCCAGTCGTGCTGTTAAGTGACTGTATGGCATTGGGTAAGTCACGCGTGGACCTCAGTTTTCACATCTATAAAATGAGGACATTGGACTAGAAAGCCTCTCCCAGATCTTAAATCTGGTTCTCTATGAGTTCCAAGGCAAGATTAATAAAGACACTGAAATTCATAGATGAAGGTCACTGGTAAAACTGGGAAGGAGCTCCAACTTTCTTTGCCAAATCCCTTTTAGTGTTCATACCAGATTATCTTTAAGAGCATTTGAAAAGCAGACATTTAGCTGGTAGGGTTAGTGTGTATACGACTTTCAAGTCTGACAGGTTGGTCTCTCTTGATGTAATCCTGGTCTGTTGTAAGGTAGCCCCTGCTCCTGGAAGTGATAGACTAATTGTGCTAGTGAATAGGTGGGTGCCCATATCGCACAGCGGGGCTTTATATTTGAAGGTGCTGGTGTACTGTACTCATTTCTTGGCACTAGGAATGTTTATCCTCCTGAGATGGAATTGCAGCTCTTTGGACAAACTTTGCTTTGCTACATTTTTGTGGTTTCTTCTCTCTGACAAGCGGGAGTGTGGGAAAACCGGATACAGCTCAGCACCAAAAATGCAAAGAAGGGGGAAAAAGCAAAAGATTTCTTCAGAATTTAAGAAATATAATCTAAGTAGCAAAAGGCATGCTGTGAGGAGTCATTCCAGGAAATAGTTTCCGATTTGCCTTTAAAACTCCAATACAAGTCTCTGAAACCAATTCAGTGCTAATAGAGAACTTAAATAAATCTTTTTATTTGTATAGACAATAGAGTGTCTTACAAGCCCACCATTTTCTCAATGTTTTTCTCATCTTGCTGTCAGCTTCATCTTAGTTGATTTGTATTGATGGACACAAAAAGCTGCTTATTGTAGAAGCCCATCTGAAGAAACTTATATTCTGTGAAACCTGTCCAGATAGTGTTATTTCCAGAGGAATCTTCAATAGATCATTAAATCTGGAGCCTGATAAATAGCTGGTGTTCAGACTAAGATGCCGCAGCAGGAAGTTTTTATTTTATTGTCTCGTATTTCTGCCTGAAAAACCTGCTGCTCCATTTTTTGTGGTTGATTACTGCCCCCAGTACAGCTCTGTAAAGATTCATCAGTTCTCATCACTTGTGACTGGTTATGCCGAGTCACTTTCAGGAATTCTGAAGTTACGTCATGAGATTCAAACTAGTGAGAAATTGTAATTAGCTTTTGGCTTTATGAAATCCTGTACTTTCTGGTTGAATTTCAGACTTCTAACATAGAATTTGGCATATGACAAAAATAGAAGCAATTTCCAAAGGCACCAGGTTTCCATATATTCATGATGATGCATTCAGAGTATAATACAACATAAAAGAAAGTCTGTAATTTGGAGGCTGGTGCAAAAGAAGTTGAGGATCAGGACAACTGAGTTTTATTTCTCTCTGATAATACACAATAGGCTCTATCTATAGGCTTCAATTTCCCAATGTGTACAGAAAGGAGAAAAAGCAGATTTCTATAAAGTTTAAGAATTATAATCCAACAAAACTGCACAAAAAAACACTTTTCACGTTGAATAATTTAATCAAAAGTCAAAAGAATTTGCTGCCTGCTGTGGTGAAGGCCTTATTTTAAATGAACACATTACATTACATGCTTTGAACAAAATTTTGTTAATCCTTTCTGCCTTACTGGTATTTTATGCCCCCTTCTTACACTACCTTTCCGCCTGACTTCCTGACATGGCATCTCAGTCCCTCACTTGTATTTCCTCAGCCTTAATCCAATTTTGTCAATTCCACAGTTGGGTTTATTAAGAAATTCACATTTCTCATTTTAGTAGTGCCTTTTACATTTTCTAGTTTTTCCTCTTTGATGTTTTGCAGCACCTCATAATTTAGTACCTTTTTCAAATCCTTTTCCTGAAACTATTTGTGGTATTTCTTCTAAGCACTTAGTTGTATTAGAACTACTTTTTTTTTTTCAAATAATCTCATTTTTAGAGCCAGAATCATACTTTTTTTTTTAAGGTGGAGAAAGAAACTTGAACAAATTGAGGTGCTTAGTTGCTAGGCCCACAGGCAAAACCCAAGTACCAAAGAAAAGCACGAAAGTTAGTCCCCCAAATTCTTGTTAACTTGGGCAACTTTTCTGCCACAAGAAATAAGAAAGAATATACATATTTCCTTGCTGCACATGGAACCTTTGCAAAAAGTGACTGTGTATCAGAGCATAAAAACCTCATAACAAATATGGAAAAGAAATAATGTTAAACACATACTTTACTGACCATAATACAATAAGAATTAAATAAAGATCCCTTATAAAAAGTACTAAAAATCTACTGGGGACTAAATAACTTAATCCTAAAGACTTGATAGGTCAGCAAACAAATAATAGAAATAATAGACATCATATCACAATTTTGGGAATGCAGCCAAAGTATAGAGGGAAACATACCTCTAAATACTTTCGTCATCAGCAGAAAAAAAACAATGATTAACAAATTGAACATTTAACACAAGGGGAAAAAAAAACCTCTACTAACACATTGTTAAATCCCAGACACCAAAATAGAAATCCTCAAAATCCAAAAAGACATTAATAAATTTTTAAAATTGTATTAATAAATAAAACTAGGAGCAGGTTTTTTTTAATAGACTAAACACTATGTAGTTTAAAAATAAGAAAAAAGCAAATTTCAAGTATCAAGAATGAAAAAAGGAGAAAAAAATGTAGTATATTATTAGAAAATATTTGCCCCACTATATGCCACTAAAACCAACACTTACATGAAATAGAAGAATATTTACAAATATATAAAATACCTGTACTTTTAACAGAGTAAAAAAGAGAATTTAAACAACCACATCTTAGAAAAAGGCATGAAGCAAGTCATAAATGAACACCTAAAGAAAAAATCTCAGAGTTAGATGGAGTCATAAGAAAATTCTATCAAACATCATGTGAACAATTAATACCAATATTATACAAACTGCTTGCAAAAACTACAAAAGAAGGGATCCTGCCAAATTCCTTCTTTGACACAACTATGGTCTTGATGCCTAAACCAGGGAGAGTCAAAACAGAAAATAAAATTGTATACCAATATCCCTAATGAACATTGGTACAAAAATGTTAAATATTTAAATAAACTATTAGCAAAAATGCTACAGTAACAGATCACTAAGATATAACCAGATTGGATTTATTCCTGGGAAGGTAGGATTGTCTTAAAATTAGGAAAACTATAAACATAATTGTCAATATTAATAATGACAAAAATCATATGATTGTATCAATAGATGCAGAAAAAGCATTTGACAAAGTACAATACCCATTTGTGTTTTTTTTTAATGTAGAAAACATAAGAATAAACGTACTTTTCCTTACTATGAGAAATGCTATGTATCTAAAACCAATAGCCAGCAGTAGATGTAATAGGGGCAGACTAGAGTCCTTTAGAATAAGATCAGGGGTGAAACAATAATAATCACTGTCATCACACCTATTTGACATAGTGCCAAAAATGCTAGCTATAGCAATAAGACCAACAGAAGAAATTGAAGAAATCAACATAGACAAAAAAGAAGCAAAATTATTTTTTGCTGCAAAATCGCTTTTTGCAGATATTATTATAACATGCCTAGAGAACCCTATAGGGTCAACTAAATATTAATTTTAAAAATTTGTAAGTTCTGCCAAGTTGCAAAATATAAAATCAATTGATACAAATCACTGGTATTTCTATATATTTCAAATAAAACCCAGTAGGAAGATATAGGGAAAGAAGGAAGGCAGGAAGGGAAGGAGGAAGTGAGTGAGGAAGGAAGGATTGATTTGTTAAGCACCTACTATGTGCTCAGCACTATGTTAAGCACTTCACAAATATCTCATTTGATCATCACAATAATCCTGGAGGTAGGTACTATGATTATACCCATTTTACAGTTGAGGAAACTGAGGCAGACAGAGGTTAAGTGACTTACTCAGGATTGCACAGTTACTAAGTGTCTGAAGTCAAATTTGAACTCAGCCCCTAAGCCTAGAGCTCTATCTATATGAATATGGATATAATGGAATACTGTGCTGAAAAAATGAAGAAAGAGAACATTTCAGAGAAACCTGGGAAGACATGTGAACTGATGCAGAGTGAAGTGAGCAGAACTAGAACAATTTATACTTTAGCATCAATACTGTAAAAAAAAAAATGAAAAACCAATTCTGAAAAACTTAAAAACTCTATCAGTGCATTGATCAACCATGATTCTGGAGGACTGATGATGAAGGATGCTGCCCATCTCATGAAAGAAAAGTGCAAACATTTTTGAATGTGGCCAATGTGGAAATTTGTTTTGCTTAACCATGCTTATATGATATAAACATTATGTGTGTATGTGTACATGTATGTTTGTTTGTTTTTTTTTTCCAGTTGGGATGGCAGATAATCTCATTTGATCCTTATAATAAGTCTGGGAGATAGGTGCTATTATTATCCTCTGTTGAAGAAACTGAGACAAACAGGTTAACTGACTTGCCCAGGATCACAAAGCTTCTGAGTACTCAAGGCCCAGATTTAAGCTCAGTTCTTGACTCCAGGTCCAGTGCTTTATCCATTGTGCCACCTAGCTACTAGAGCAGCATTGGTGTCTACTACAGTATTCAGA